AGCTCAACAATATTGTGATACTATCCTGGGCTGTTGCATTACCTAGGGCACGTCATAATGGGGCCATTTTTCCACAAGATAATGGCAGGCCAAATACCGTTCGCAAATCTCTGGACTGTCTTTGTGTGGTTGATACTCTTTCTTGGCCAGCAAGGTCACCAGACCTTTCAGAGCATATCTGGGGCATGGTAGGCCGCCAGATTCGAGCACCACAAAATATCACAGATCTGGAGCGACACTTGATGAATGCCTCACAGAATGTGTCGCAGGATGACATTACGATCCTCTGTCACTCCTTGCCTTGACGAATTCAAGTATGCATTGCTGCCAGGGATGGTTTGACCAACTACTAATCTGAATACTCAGTGGGTGATTGTGAGCCATGAACAGGTACTATGACCTTGACTTTTTTAATCATTTTATTATCTGTGTATGAGCTATACACATATTTAATTTCGTCAAAAACAGCCACTTCCTTCATGGTGCTTCTATTTTTTTGCAAAATAGTGTATTATACATCTGCTAATATTTCCAGATTACCTTTCGCAGCTTCAAAATGACAATAAATGTAAGCAACACAATGGAAATTAACTCAGCTTTTATATCTTGACTTCATAAATTATAGATCATAAAAGTTCAACATGTATTAATATGTAAAATTTATTTTTAACACCGACTTCCTTTTTCTTAAAAATGTGGAAAATTAATGCATGATTTTAGAATGAATTAAAGAAAGATACTTATGGTAGGAAATTATATACCTAATTCAAATCATTTCAGTAGAAAACTCTACATTATCTTGAGTTGATCTTATAAAATAAAAAATTAATACCTGATATAAGAAGCAATGTTGATGGAGATCCATGAATATCTACAAAACGTCTCATGCATTGTTTCAGTTTATCATCAGCTGCATTTTTACAAGTAGCACTGATATGTACAACAGTGACCTGTAAAAAAGATATTTCTCAAAATATTATTTACAAAAGTAATAATACAAGGATAATATTTTAATAATTCTTAATGATAACTGCAGAACAATTTGATACTAGAAATGTTTACAGTTAGGCTTTCAAATTTGTGTTTCATTTAAATAACATTATATTACACTACCATTAGTCAAGCAAGCTGACTGGCAAATTGCCAATTCTAACAGTGTCAGTCTTACAGGGAAAGATCACTAACCATGCATATTTTGATTGAAAACTGCCAATTAGCAAATATGTTAATCTTCCAAGAAATGATTTTTAATTCATTTTTCATATTACAAATATACACTGCATATCAATCATGTGTAACAAACTTTGCGATCTGATACACATAGTTCTCAATATTTTTATTCTTATTTTAAATTTTTAATAATATACCTATTTGATACAATTTATGACACAACTAAATAATATTTTTTATAAAGATTTACATTAAATGAATTTAACAAAATATTTTAACAAATTTTAACAAAATTTAACAAAGATGTTTCTAATACCAGATATGTCTGGCATTTGTTCATTACCTGTTGCACAGCTAGTGCTCAGCATAACTAAATTCAACTGCATTGTTGAATATCAAATATACACAGAGATATACAGAACACAGTTAATTTTAAGTTAACAGATTTAAGTTAACAGTTAATTTTGTTTTCTGTACAATTAGGTATTAGTAAAGAATTCAATTTTGCAGTTTCCTTTACCCATCGGTTTTTTAATATTTATTATTTCATTGAGTGATGCAAAATTAATTTTGCCTTAAAGTTTTATATCTGATTTATTGATTCAATCACATAAATTACACAGAAAATCACAGAGTATTGAATTATTCATACACATTCATTCTATCATTCACACTCTACTGTTGAATGAAAGATAAAAAATTTACCACCATTTTATAAAAATTATATTTTAAGATACATTGTTGTAATTTAAATGACAAAAGCTATTATAACATTACTTTTAAAATTATAGTAATGCATTTGTTATTTTACAAAAATCTTAAAAATTTACATGCCATATTCGCTCAAATAAAAGATCTCCCCCTCTTTTTGTTATATTTTTGGTTCTGAATTTGGGTCGTATAATCGAATAATTTGATAAATGAAACTGCAAAATGAGAGGTGGGAATTTAATTACCATACTAAGTAGTGCAATTATGCTGTTTAAATTCTAAATAAACTACACAGGTAATATGGTATACATAAAGTGCACGACTACTATTAATTATAACAGCTATATGTAATTGAACGATTTCAGTTCAGGCCTGCATGCACTGTACTGGTTACCCAGTATGTATGAAAACAAATAGACAACAACATATCACCGACTTTACTTTATTTTTTACCTAAAACAATGGTAAAATATGGTATTTAATTAAGCAGCTTAATCTTTTATTCTAATTAGAATCAAATGAATTTTCATCAGATATTCACATATAATTTTATGTCTTAAAATTTATCCTAACGCAAGATATTCAACAAGTTCTTATTTTCAAGAACACATGGTAAATTTTGTACAGTTTAAGTAAATCTGGTTGATTATTAAGTAATAAAAATGATGACCACATAAAAAAACCCACAGAAGATGCATTAAAAAAATCATAGTCATGATTGTCCATATAAAAAAATCTCATGAAGATAAAAACCCATATAGATATACATAGATAAATATATGTATATGCAATCACTGAAAATTATTTTTATTCTATACAAAGAAATTATTATAACTGAAAATTATACTTAGAATTAATTGAATTTAAATAGATGAAAATTATTTAGAAATTATTATCACTGAAAATTATTTTTATTCCATCTAGAATTCTTCATATTTCTTGGCCTATAAGACGCCCTTCCACCCTCCTCCAAAATGTGTCCTAAAATCAGCCCATGTCTTATGGGCTGAGGATATTTATTAACTTCATCTTCACAGTGCAATCTCAGTCTCCAGGGAAAATACAATTAAATATTTTTAATGCATCAGCCATAGAAAATGATTGCCTTTATTGTGAATGTCAATAATAACACTTTTGAGCCAGTAAAAAGCAACAGAATTTTAATATTTCCTTGACAGTAGTTTCTAAAAACATTTCCAAATAAATAATATATATATATATGTTTTCAAAAAGAATACATGAATTTAATACAAATTAATTAATCTTTGCACCATTGCTGCAAGGATGAAATTTAAATTTTAACAAACATGTATATACGTAAAAAGCAAATTTAAAGTTAAAAATAATTAAAAAAAGTGCAAAAACATAAAAAGATTAATTTCGAACTAATCTACAATACCATTTAAATTCAGAAAGCATAAGTAAATCAAGTGCAAAACCAAACCATGAAAATAAATTCACCAATTTAGCAAATTAAAATTAATCTAAATTTTTTTTTTTTTTTTTTTTTTTAAATGCATAAGTGAATGATTGTTGAGCAGGCAGGAGACAGACTTATCAAGGGGAAGTTGCCTCCAAACAATCATTCACTTATGCATTTTTTTAAAAAAATTTTAGATTAATTTTAATTTGCTAAATTGGTGAATTTATTTTCTGGTTGGTTTTGCACTTGATTTACTTATGCTTTTTGAATTTAAATGATATTGTAGATTAGTTCGAAATTAAATCTTTATATTTGCACTTTTTTTTAATTATTTTAACTTTAAATTTGTTTTTTTACATATATACAGTTTGTTAAAATTTATATATATATATAATATATATACACACACACACAATATTAAACATAATGCAATTAGTTTGTTCTTACAGTTAGCCTGTCAGCCATGACACTGAACACAGCTTAAAAATAACTTCGTAATACTTATATAGAGGCAATGCAAAACTGCTTTCAGATGCATCATTTTTATAAAACAGATTAAAATTATAAAAAATTGTGGTTTAGTAAGTGCCTATAAATATAAATTTATAAAAATAAATAGTACTATTTTTCTCTCGAAAATCTACTAAATGAATAAACAAGATCAGAGCCAGATTTACGTATAAGCTACAAAGCTATAGCTTAGGGCCCTACTTTTCTTGGGCTCCCCCCAAAAAAAAATTAAAATATAGTATAAATAGTATTAAAATACATTATAACAGACTTATAAAGGGTCCCATATTTCAAATAGCTTAGGGCTTTATCAAGTCTAAATCTGGCTCTGAACAAGATGTATTGCAAGCCACAGTAATCAATCATGTAAGTGGTGCTGAAGCAATTTCACTTTCAAAGAGCCATCTAAGAATTTTTCCGTCTTTCTGCGCTGTCTCTTATTTTGGTCCAATTTACATTTGAAAAGAGTAATATCCTTTCTTTATTATAACTTTTTAAATGCAAGCAAAAATTCTTGGTAGATGCCATGTCTACACAGCTCACATTTGCGTTTTTACATCGTGTTTGGCATTTTAGAATAAAAGCGTCTTCTGATTGTTCAGTTTCTTCTAGCTCGAAATGAAAGCATCTTAGTGATAGGCTCATTGGCTCTACAAACGGTCAGATTTAAGTAGTATGAGAGTATCGTTCAGTGCGTAAAGCCATTCTTTCTCTTTAATGTTTATATCTTTTTTATGCAGAATAACTTGCATAAAAAGTTAAAACTAGAGTACTCTCATGGGATCTAAAGAGAGATGACTGTCATACAATACTGCATTTAAACTTGAAATTTTGAACTTCACTTCAAAGTAGCTGAAAAGCGTTTCCACCCACCTCCAAGTGAGAAGACGATATGAGAAAAGAGGAAGGAGAAGATGGATTTAGTGAATGCATATAGGAGTAAAATTACTTTATGTTCAGTTTTTTTCCTAAATGGCCGAAATTTGAAGAACATGTTAAGAATTGGATAATAAATTGCAGAAGAATGGGATTACTATTACAACAAAAATGATTTTAACTGAAGTAAGAAAATTAGCTCTAGATATGTCTATTCCGATTTTTTTGGGACATTGTCATGGTGCAAAAGATTCATGAATAAAACCGGTCTATTCATGCTGTAATGTATTTTGCAGTAATTAACAAAACAGGCAATCTCTTAGTAGAACATAAATTTTATTTCTAGTTCACAGAGAGATAATTTGAAGTAATTTTTTAGTGGCAAAAAACTTCAGAATCCTCATTTTTAAAACCAATTTCTCACGTTGCTAGCAACGGTTACATAATAATAATATGGTGTTGCCACATCAACAATATTTAATTAAATAATAAATAAATTTATTAAATAACAAGATATTACAATGCGTACAAAACTACAATAGTACAAAATCTGCCACTTGACTATGAAAGAATAATAGAATTCCACAAACACATCATGTTTGTGATGTATTTGTGGAATTTGAGATAAAAGATTAGCTTTAGATTTCCAACAGAACAGTGGATATTAAAGGTGCTACGATGATAATGATAAAGACTTATGGTAGTGAGAATATGCACTGTATTGCTGTTCTCACATGTTATGTTGATGGTTTAAAAATCCTTCTTTTGTTAAATGTTAAATGAAAAATGCTGCCTAAATGTAAAATTCTACATGGAATTTAGACTAATGTTCATTCCAAAGGATGGATGGAAAAAGAGGGTACGATGCTGTGGTTATAGAAGGTCTGATACATGCATCCAGGTGGAATTCTGAAGAAATCGTCTTTATAAGTGTACGATCAATTTAAGGCCCAAATATCAGAGTCAGCAAAAATACAGAACTACTAATCTTTGCTACTGAGCTGAACTGATGCATCTTTCTGCTATCCCTCGTTGATTAACTTCTCAACTAGAGTCTCTGGATGTTTCAGTCAATAATTCATTCAAAGGATTTATGCATAAAAAATGGATAATATAGACAGAGGCACCAACTCATCATGTCATACTGATGGTAAGAAACGGATATCAGTTTCTAGGGTTTGCGAGTTGTTGAAAAAGGCGTGACAAAAAATTAATAGCGAGACTATCATACTTTTAAAAAGTGCGGAATTAGCAATGCAG